TAGTTAGTAAAAATAGTTTTGAAATAACAAAGAAATAGTTAATAACAAGGAAAAAATACCATTTATTATAATTTATGATTTTTAATATGAAATATTAATGTTTTGATCATTTATTAAGATATTAATAATTTGCAATTAAAACTTTAATTTGATTACTTATTTTTATTTTATTTTATGTTTTCTCTTTTTTATTTCTAAAATATTAAAAAAATTATAAATTATTTAAAATATTAGTAATTTATAGGGAAAATAATAATAATAATAATTATTAATTTATTTCTATAAATTTAAATTTATAATTAAAATATTTTTATACTTTATCTAACATAATAATAATTTTATAATTAAAATATATAATTTTTAAATTATTATTTAATAATTTACACTTAAAAATTAATAATTTATTAATAAATTTATAATATTTATATTAATTTATTAAAAAATTGTTCCGTAATTTTTTATAATTTAAAATAATAGTTTCAAAATATATTTAAAAGTATTTTTATTCAAAATGTTTTTTTTCCCAATCTAGCTTAGGTAGAATAACTAATACCAAGGGAGGTTGGTTTAGCTATTCTTTGTTTTTAAGGAATAACTATTTTTTATTCAAAAGATGAATCAAACGGCAGTAAAAGAATAGAGTGGGAATAGGGGAGGAATAATTATCCTATTTCTCTCAAATCACAAGATATTTTTCTATAATTTATAATTTATAATTTATTTATTTATTGTTTAGTTTTCAAACGGCGGGAAAACATTTATTAAAAGTGGATACATAAGAACATGGTCAAAGGTATGAATCAACAAGTGATTAGTTTAACACATGCTTGTGTTTTAATGTTTGATGTATACGAGAACACTGCATAAGGTAAAATTTATTATTAGATAATAATAAAAATAAATGTAATAGGCATTTCTCCATCTAAAACTAATTATAGTTAGATTTACGTCAAACTTCATCATAAAATTTGGTATGATGTTTAAATATATTATTATATATGTACGTCACGTAATAAGTTTATTATTTCTCTTTTACGTGAAAATAATCAAACTTTTCAAATCACTTTAGACTTAATAATTATAAGATGTTTTATTGAAAAATTTTTGAGCATCAACCTTATACCAAATCGATATAATTGGAAATGAATAAAATTAATTAATAATAAATAAAAATATCTCTTTTAATTTTAAAAAATTAAAATAGTAAATTTTAAATTGTAGTAAGAGTTATTTTTACCATTATTTAACAACAATAAGCATATAGTACTTTAATAGTTCACTATGCCTTTCAACTTCAAAGGCCCAACAAGTAACCTTAATTTTTAATGGTCAAATTATGGATTTTTGGTTCCTTTATTTCTTTTTTATATAGAAAAGAGAAAAATATGCAAAAATTCTTTATTCATTTTCTTCCACTAGATGCCACAAAGAAGTAATTATGCCCATTATGAATCTTCAATCTAGAAATATCTTAAAGTGGAATAATCTATCATAGGAATTCCTTAAAAAGATAAAGGGAGGCAAAAAGTTTAATTTAGTTGGGGAAAGCTTTGTTGGTAGGTATACTTGAAAATCGCACACATAATTATATAATTAAGTTTCCTTACTGTATTAATTTAACAAGGATAAAGTTTAGA